TCAACCTCTTGCATAATCAGCACTTCTCTGTGCACAGAAGCTCCAACGCAGGATACCCATTGGAAATTTGTACTGTGGCATTGACAAAGGAAAGCTTTGCCACAGAACAATTTGATGTTAATTTCTAAGGTCATTTTCATGTCAAAGACTGGATTTTTTTTTATTTTTTATTTTTTTTTAATATTCATGTTACTGAAGGTCTCTTTGAGTTCATTTTCTGGCACTCATCCTGCTCTGCACTGTTATGGTCAGCACTTTTCATGTCAGTATCTCACACTGCCTGCTGGACTGCTTAATTAAAAACTGCACAGCTTCCTAAAGAGTAGGTATGCACCAATATTATTCAAGCTAAATGACAAAAAGGTGGAGCAACCCAGAGGTTAAATTACTTGCCTGGTGTCTCACATCAAGCAATAGAGGAATTTTAAAGTTTGGATCTGTGCTTTCTCCACTAGAATAACACTTCTATTGTATTTTGTCAGGTATCTGTTTTAGCTTCTATCCATAGCATAAGTTATGAAAACAGCCAGTCAGGTCTCCTTAGATGTTTGACAAGAGCAGTTAGCTGTCTTTGTGATTGATTTTCACAGTCACAGTCATTATGTTCTCTTCGGTATTTTATATTTAAAATGCCCATGTAGTTACTTATGCAAACTTTTTCACAAAAAGAGACAAACTGATACTTGTTTTTCCACAGCCTTACTTACATTTATGCCAGAGGGTCATGAGTTAAAAAAAAAAAACAAAACAAACCAAAAACCAAAAAAAAAATCACCAAACAAACTATCAGGGAAAATGTTAAGAATAAATTATTGAATACATACACTGAAATATGGACTAGCTCAGAATTAAATCCTCTATCTGTAATTTGAAATGAAGACTCCAATAGGGGACAATTTATAAATTAAATTTAGTGGGCAGTTCTGTGTGAATTTTAAGATTGTGAGGATCACTGACACAGTATTTTTTAACATATTCACCATAGTACATATGTCACCATTTTATCATCTTTTCTGCTATTTAACTTTATCAACCATGTGTTCACCTCAGGACTCACCTAGTTTCTCTGTCTCTATGTACATTATTGGTGTATATTTCTCTGCCTTTCAGTGAAGTAACTCTTAACCTTGTGTCCAGCTTCTACTAGTATTGCTCATATAGCACAGAAATTATAAAGAGCAAAAAATATCCCTGAGGACTGATATTGTGCAGTCTTTGAGGATTACAATCCTCAACAGCTAAGATTTAATATGATTGATAAACCTCTGTGGTTACAGGCATAGAAATGGTGAGAACAGACTGATTTTATCTCTAAACTAGTGTTACTCTAGCCTCGCTATAGGTAACAAATGTATAATTAATCTTGGCTTTATATTTTCTTTGATACTTAAAGATGCAGATGGCTACATTGGTCAGACAAGTTTGCATTTTTTATTGTTATTTTGTATGTTTCCCAAGGCTTTGAAAGAGAAATTGGCTTCCCATACAAAGATGATTCTTTATAGAAAAATTTCTTCTTGTTCAAAACCAAATTGGTTTTAACTCCCGCAATAGAAGACAGTCAAATATTACAAGATGACACATTCCCATGGGGATGTGGATTTAGGGAAAAGCTAAGCAGCAAGCTAACAAAAAGCTAAGCCCTAAGACTTTCAGTTAAAACATCCGGTAAAGAGGATTGGGTTCAGCTACATCAAATCCTTTGTGCAAACACAAAAGACAGCTTCTGGAGGAAAACCTTTCAAAATGGCCAACCATACCACAGGAAACTCAAAATTTGTCAAGAACCAAAAAAAAAAAAAAGAAAAAAGGTTAAAAAAATTGCATGGCATCCCAATTTAACATCTGATTTATAAGATGTACTACAGACTATGTGATGTACTCCAGCTGATGGACGTTGCTCAGTAGGAGTCAGTAATGGATTTAAGAGCTTTGCTGAATTGGGTCTGGAAGGTCTAACAAAGGTTTATGGAAAAGTCAAGTGCTTATACAGGAGCTTCTCTGCCAACATCTGTGGTTCAGACAATTCTTAATGCACTTATTATCAACTCTGTATTTCATTTGGGTTTTTTTCCCTCACAAGTTTCCCAAGACAATAAAATTTGGCTCATTTCAGAAACTATATTTCCCTTCCCAAATATAAAATTTTCTGGTAGTTACCATCTGAATGTGAAAGGACTTTTGTCAAAGCCAGTGGAGAAGATTGCAAGTGCTTGAGTAACACCTCTAAATGTGCCATTGCTTTTTAGCTGAGTCATGTGAATTAACTACATTCAAGCTCCTACCTCACACGCAATTGCAAAGTATACTTTGGTATCTAGGCCACCCTAGAGAGGCAGCATATTTGGATTTCTGCTCACAACAGGGTAGCATCATACAAGATCATTTTACAAGAGCCAACAGTGTGACTTTTCAGGCAGAAGTAACTAGGTCATTTACAACCATCTGTTCCCAGCCTCAGCCTCCCTGCAGTCATCACCGAAGCTGTGCACTAATTAATTTTCACCTGCTAATCAGCAGAGACAGCTCTGAAACTAACAAATCATCCAGTTTTAGTCAACAGTTTCTGGACTATTGTGGGTGGCATTTCAGTGAGATTTTATTACCAGTAAAAATAAAGAGTTTTCTCTGAAAGAAGATCCCCTATAAGGCTTCTGACCTGCTCCGTGTACAACAGCCCTGTGAAAGAGTGAAGAACACTGCATCCGATTCTTCAGGCAAAGAACTAAAAGTACACTGGTAATTGCCTTCAGATCTTCAAAGTATTGAGGCACCTTCTTAATTTTGATATGAGGAGTTAGGTATACAAATGTTTGGATTTACAGACTTAAAAAACCCGCTTGAGGTCTCCTGGGAAGTCTGTGAGGGAGCAGGAAATGGAATCATGTTTTCCCAAGCCATAGGCAAGCACTACAACCATGGCAAAATCCTTCCTCTACCTTGTAGTTTTAAATATGACAAGTAGCTTACTACAATGTAACTGAAACTCCATTTTAAACTGTGAGAGGATTAATACATAGCTCCAAAACAGAATGATTGTATTTTATTTGTTCTGAAGACAGATAAAGCAAAACTCATAACACTATATGCTCTTCAAACCTACCAGTTCTGTCTAATGGCACATCTTATAATGAGCTCTGAGATTTTTTTTTTTATATACATGTTTTCCCTGTAAATAGCTATGATTCCTTAAGTTAAAAAAATATTCACATTCTTCAAATGAGTTGATTTTAGTTCCATGGAATTATCCCGCTTTTAAAAACAAACATTTTCATTATCACAATAGCGTTACTTTGATTTAGTAGGTACTGTAAAAGGCCCAAGAGGAAAAACTCATGTAGGTAAATATTGAAAGAAAATGTCTGCAATACCCATGCAAACTGCTCAATGAGAAATGGCAAGAGATTATGATCTAGAGTCTACCCTGCCGCTTGCGATTCTGTATCACAGTACCTCAGCTAGGGCTCAGAAAAGTATGATTTATAAGTTGTGAACAGTGTGCAGCATTCATAAATAGTCATGAATATTTGACCTAAATAAGGTCAAAATAACAGTTCCCAGAAACTATTATTCTCTCTCATGAGTATATAACAACTTTGAACAGGAGCTAGCTAAGTAGGACATCTCCTGAATGGTAGCAAGGACAGTTCCTCTCCAAATTCCCCATACGCAGTATTGTCACAGTGACTGGAGATAGTTGTCAGTTCACCTGTGCTCAGCTGTGGCCAATCAATAAGATATTTGCAATCCTATCAGCAGGAATTAGACAAAATTCTAAAGGATATGTTCTGTAATCCCTGCTTTTCGAGATGTAAGTAAAGGAACCAGAAAATTAAATCCCTGGAGGCTGATTTTTTTTTATTTTTTTTTTGTTAGAGAGCTGGTGCATCACATTCTCAAGCTTGCAGCTGATGCTCCAAGAGTGCAGCCAGGCATCTTCTTGCAGGCAGTCACAGGACTGGGGTCTAACGGCCACAATGCCATGCAGGTAAGAAATGAAAATGCACTATGCCCTGGATCCAAATATGGTGTAGTTAAAAACCAGAATCCCAATTCAAATCAAAGCACCTCATCTTTATGAAAAGCAGAGGTCAGCCCTGTGTGTATATTAAAAATACTTTTTTTGATGCACAATTTTTTTTGCACATCTGGGGACAACTGGAAAAGAAAGAGTAAACATACCCATGGACATTTCTGTGATAGAAATTGCACATGTGAAGAGGAAGAAGGAGAAGAGCAGTTAGCACTGGAACTCTGACTTGGATATAGACCTGCACTCCTGCACAGTGTATCAGACCCCAGGCACTGAAGACTTACTCCTCCAGTTTTCCCTTTTCTCCAAGCAATGTGCTACAAGTGGTAACTCAAACACTGTGCATGACCTTATTTAAAACACACATGAGAGGGAGAAGGGGCAGATCATTGATCATTCACAACTCTTAATTTTGCCTTGGGTTCACTGAAGTTGTTTTCAGTTTGCTTTTAAAGGTACAGGTTAGGGTCTACACTGATAAAGCTACACTACAGAGAGTGATGGCAGTATGAGCAGGAGCATGGAGGGCTGTGAGCACTAGCATGGCTGTCCCCCACTTCTGTAAGAGAACCAGACCACTGACAGCATGGCAAGACAACATTTTGCAGAAGCTGGTCATCAGCCTCACATTCTCTTCTTTCTGAACATGCAACTTTGGTTTTTAAGCTTCTTTGTGTGTGCTATGAGACATGCATAAATAAAAATGAGTGGTATCAGGTAATTATCACAGCAACTGTGATATCCTTATGTAGTATCTCAACAAATCAAGGGAAGTTTTTCCTTTTGGAGACAGAACATGAAGTGAGGAATATGAAAATTGCCTATATAATGCTGCCACAGGGATGCCTCTCAAATCATTTTATCAGCAAGAAAGAAAGCCATGTCTGCTGGTAACAGCTAAAGATCATGTTCTAATTTTAGCAGTTGCAGTTAACTCATTCCCAATGGAGTTGCACTTACCGTGAGAAGATTTCTAACTGCTTCAGCACTGAAAGGAAACAAGCATCGAGTCATTCAACTGCAGATCTATATGCAAATATGCTTTTTGGCCCATGAAGGGAAAGCATATAGAATCTGCTGCTGTAATGCATTCAGCCAAACATTTCCACACATTTCTTATAATGCAAATGCTGAAAAAAAAAAATAATTCATTTACCAACCAGTGTTTCAGCTGTCCCTACACAAGTATGATCATTAGCATGCACATGCGCTCTGTTACGGACAGAGCATGCATATAGGGACTGTATGCACACTGCATGCCTAGAATTGGTAGGAAAAGTTTTAATCAATAGATACATTCACCTTGACAGCCAACAGTTCAACAGTTATATTATTAATTTTGCTCATAGATTATGGTTATGTCTTATATAACACAAGCGATATTAAGCCGATATATTACATTTTCATTAAACTTAAGAAGACCATAATATGAACTGTTCATTTTTTTTCAATTATTATTTAGCTCCCAGAACAGTGATTCTGCATAAAGAATTTAACTCCACAGAATATGGTAATTTCCTGGATTAACCTCTAGCCAGGCCTACAATAGAATCCACATCACAGCTAGTCACCCATTTAGTAGAATGTCCTGAATAAAATTCTTTTATAGTTATGAGACTTTTGGTTAGTTCTAAAGCATGCACTTAGTGCTAGGACAATCCTAGCAACTAATGTTTAAGTATACTAAAATGAAATAAGGAGATTGTCTTGGTGAGCAGTGATAAACATGAGGCTCTTTAAAGACTGATTTTTCAATTAATTTTGTAAACAGATTTATACTTTAGATTAAGATCTTGAGCAAGTTATTTCACAGTACGAAATGAGAATTCCTTTTTCTGTCAAAAATAGTACAAATAAAGAAAAAAACCACAAAAATGTTACATCCAGCAAAGATCAACATAAAATTATGATGAAATGTCAAAAGGTAAGAGTTCTAGAGCTGCCACCTTAGTTTTCTGCCTAGATTAATCCCTGCTGTGAGCCTGTGACTGAACAGAGGCATGGAAATCCCATGTGAGCTGGATGCACAAAGTCATCAGAAAGGTTTTTGAATGGAGAGTGCAGCTTGTCACTAGAGATGAAATAGAAAAACTGGGGACCTCTATATTTATTGGCAAAATTCACTGAGCATGGTGATGGGTATTCAGGAAGGAGATCAGCACATACATATAGAAAAATTCATAAGGATGATTCCTTCATGCCACTAACAGGTAGGCAGATGGAAAAACTCTGTCTATTCCCCAGACTAGCCCTGGACTGTAATAACTGGGGCTAGGCACTGTGCTAATGTGCACAGTGCCTGGCTTTGCAGAGGCAACTGGGCTGAGAAAGAGGGAAATACAAATGAGAATTATGCTGCCATTTTTTCCCAGATGTGCAGATACTGAAAAACAACAGGAGAGGAAACTGTATTCAAACAGCTAAAACTTTAAAAAAAAAAAAAAAAGTTGAAATGTATGAGGATGCACATTACAACTTATATAAAATACATTCCTGTTCTACTCTGAAGGCCAGATTAGCACCTAAAAATATGCTGAACTTCAGATGTAAACTCCACTCCTTGTATTTCAATGATACATATGTTCATACCAAATTTTAAGTATACCTGCAGGCACTGTTGAACTGTGGCCTAAGTGCAGAGTGAAGGGCACTGCCCTAAAATCGTAGGGTAATTCCAAGGGTTACCTTGGAAAGTTTACAAGATATATAATTTCCATAATTATTTTCACTGCTCTGAATATTCAGCTCCCTACTCATCCCATTGCTACAAATATCTTGAATCAGTGAGCGACTAGATACACAAGAGTTAACTTTATAGAAATAAGACTGCTGCTTAAATTCAGAGAGGAAAAGGATGATAATTTCTTTAAAAATATCTTCTAAAATGGATCTTTAGTCATAAATACATATATTTATCTAATCTATTGATGAATAATAATGTTTAGAATGATCGTGTGCATCTTTGGTTTGATTAACTTGAAATAGACTGGTACCTCATTTAGTTTAGGAGCAATAATATTATTCTTTTTTTCCTCAGATAATATCAACAGTCTGTTGCAAACTAAAAATTATTTTCCCTTTTGCAGGCTTCAATTATACTAAAAAATATTTTTTTCTCTTGCTATAGTTAGCACGTGTCTCTCTTATATGTATTTTTAATGAACAAATTCACATGATAAAACAGACTGGGCACGAAACAAGTGTCCTAAAGAATGAGTTGTTACCTTAAATGGGGCGATTATGTCTGAGCTGAGTGTTCAGAACCTAATGGCTGCAACCTGGCAACAGATTTTTATTTTTTTACTTTTTTTTCTTTCTATGTCAGGACTGGGTAAATTGTGTGCTGCTTTTTCAAACATCTCCTTCTAGATATCTCTTCCCATAGCAATTATATTGCATTCACCCCATCATGGAGGTGCTGAGCTAAGTGATCTATTAGAGGACAGGTTGGCTGTCAGGGACTAGTGTATTCCTCCACCTTCCTCCAAAGAGCAGATTTTCAATTGTCATCTTGGACATTAGTACATTCCTAGGAGCTGAACCAGGCAGTGCTTTCCACTTGGAGCTTTAAAGGCTGGAGACAATCTTGAGCCCAGACAAGAACAAGCTTCATTGTCTCTTTTAAATAATCTTGGAGTAAAGGTGAAAGGAACCAAAGGAAAAACTTAGAAAGAAGAAAACACACCTGAGATAGGGAAGGAATCAAGGGGGACAGGATGGGGACAGGAAAAGAAATAAAAAAAAAAAAAGGAAAAGCCCTGTGAGAGAGAAGAAACAGAAACTGAGTTCCAAAGGATAAGAAGTTGCTGTCTCCCATTAGTTATAGCATTGAAGATTTATGTGAGAGAGGCACTAACACTTGGTGTGTTGTTTTCACAGCAGGAAGGTGGCATCATATGTACTGGCATCAAACCATGATGTCAGCTCCTATCGGACCAGAAACAGCTGTACTGGCAGGGCTCAACCCATGCCAGGCCCTGAGCATTCCCTGCTGTGTTGCAACAGCACCTGTCAGAGTGATGCAGCAGCACAAGTTCAGGAACCTCCTTGTTTGAGGAGTATCAGTGAGATTTAACTGATAGGCCCAGAAGGACTAGCGACCCTTCAACTCAAAGTTCCCCATACCAGGAGATTTCAAATGCTACTCTTTAAGCTTTTCATTATTTGGAGAAGAGCCACAGATGCAGAGCCCTGAGGACTAAGTCCCTTGTTTACACAGTGCTAGTTCTGTCTTGCTCCCTGGCCTAGATATGGTATCTACAGCCAGGGAGGGGGATTTTCTGGGATGAGAACAAGCAGAGCTATCATGGTTGAGGGATTTGCAAAGGCAGGCCCCGTCTCACCATACCTTGACCACCTTGAATTTAAACATTTAGTCTAGGTAAGTTGTTTGGGCTGCCTCCAAGATCACTGGGGAGTCGCTGTCAGTGTAAGACTCATCTCACCCTTTCACAGGCACTTCTCTATAATAATTGGGAAAAAATTAAATTGAAAATTCTAAAACTTGAAAAGGTTACCAGTCTCAGGATATAATCACTAGGGATTAGTCTGATACTACTCAGCTCTTCGCATCAAACAACTCTCAAAATAGTGAATGCCATCAATGTGGAGTCAGAAGCCTAAGAGTTCATCAGCCTCCTACCACTCTCTCTGAATTGTTGCATTCCTCATACTAGAGCAAAATGAAGTGACATATTTAATTGATCTTGAAATAACCATCAAATTGTCATGTGCTAGTATGTTAACTTTCCTAGATGAATCTATCATTAATAGGATTAAATGTGTATGTTTTCCTTCGTTAGCTCTATATCTGCATATGTTGTCTTCCCTCTTTTATTATTTACATTTTTCTTCAACTATCAGCTTTTCTAGGCTTGTGAAATTATCACAAAAGTGAGAAGCAGTCTGATGTTACTCACTGTAATAATCCCCTTGCTTAAGCAAGATATTAAAGGTTTTTAAATAACAGGCCCAGCAAGCACAGCTTACAAAAACAGACTATAACTTCTTATCTTAGTCTGAATTAAATTAGGGAATAGCCAGATCTTAACAGGGAAAGAAAAATAAAGAGGAACCTCCAGAAAACTAGTGATTCTTCTGTGATATCAAGCTCTACCGGGAAAAGCAAAAGCTCATTAAATTTTACCAATTAATCTGTAAATGAAAAGCTGAAGAAGATTATCATCATAGTTGTTTTTAAAGGAAATCAATTTCTAGTCTGGAAAAGATGCTATTGGCTGTATATTTCTCCACTGTGTGCTATTTTTCAAGTTCTGACAATTTTAGAGTATAACCTACACTGCAGATGCATTTATATTTTATTGAACAATTGGAAGTGTCTTAAACCTCACTGTATATGAACTACAATTAATGATAATTAAAAGGTTCTAATCTTTGCCACAGAGAAGTAGCTCTAAGTCTTGTTAATGAAATACTGATAATATTAGTAAATAGAAGATGCTAAGTTTGGCATAAGCTTTGACATAACGCTGCTCTTTGCTGTAATACAACCTCAAATAATAATGTCAAAAACTGTTATTCAAATAGTGGATCAGTAACACATATGCTGTGAAGCCTCATTCCCTGCTAAGATTTCATTTTTCTTACCTGGTCTCTTCTGTAGCTATAAAGAAACCATCTTCTGAAGCATCAAGCCAATTTTGCCTCTGTCTCTTGATCACTGGAATGGTACTTGTCTTAATGGCACTTGCACTGGCTTGCAAGGCCTTACCATTGGTCATATGGATATGGGGAGCAGCATGCTGAAATCATAATAAAAGGGAAAGGTATTTGCTTGAGAATAAGCATAATTCTATTAAATAATTCTGCAGTAAAGGGCAGCCTACACACATCTCAAAAACAACCTCATCTTCCCCAACCAGTACCTTAGGGTCAGATAACAAACAACAAACATCAACGTATTTTATCCACAGGTTTTAAAGGTCTTTATAAAGTAAATTAACTAACTCTAATGCCATTTTATACAAAGAGATATTGAATCAATGATATGAATCAATACTATGAACTGAGCAGTTCAGAAACAGAAAACAGTTGATTTTAGGAGAGAATTAATATTTTCAGAGCAAAAAACTAGCTTCCCAAGCAATGAGATACGAGACTTACTTTTTCATCCAAGTATGGCATTGAACTAATTTCAAAAAATCCATACTTCTCACTTCACAGATCCTTACTCTGCCTGTCTTTCTTTTTAAATAAAAGTCCCTAAATAAGACAAGTGCTTTGGACCTGCTGCTAACCTAAACAGAAGTAGAAAAGTAGAGGTTTATACCACCATGCCACTGCCATGGTTTTTAGGTTTAATCACCAGTTGCTACCTAATAGAGCTACTGCAATACATCTGCATTCATTTTATAACAGATAACAATAAAAATGCATTAATTTTCTCTTAAACCTTTACCTGGAGTAATTGTGCAACAAGAGCACAGGTGTTCAGATTGTAATTGCTAGGAGAAGGGCTAAGATAGGAGTAGATATAAATAAGTAAGGGGATGAAGTTGATGGACGAATTGGTTCTTTAATGAATAGCTTTACTCCATCTTTACTCAGACCTAACAAGAGAATCTGCTTTACGATACATGAGGAGAGCTAATGTTTTGGATGAATATACCATGAATACAGCATGACAAATATATTAATCTTGGAAATCTGAATCGTGTTTACCACATAATTGACTACCAACAGGAATAACTAACTTTGATTAAAACATATATGATAGAAGACATTATACAAAGGTGAAAATTTGTGTACTTTATCTTGCTTATATTCAACATCATGTTCTCTTAGGAAGAAGTACTATTTTCTTGGTGAATTACTACCAGTATTCCACACCACTGATAGCATTTTTGCAATATTCCTACAATTCACACAGTGCTGCACATTCATGGGAGTACCCTCTAACTAGGGAACCACTAGCACAGCCACTGAGTAAGGAAGGGACTGGTTGCACCCACAAAGACCAGCAGAACAGAACACAAAACTGACCCCTGAAATCATGTCATAAAAACATAACAGCCAAAAAAAAGAAAAACAAGGGCCTTATTTCTTCTGAACAATTCTTACACTCATATGCAATGCATTATATTCACATTATGACACAAATTTCACCGCACTGTGATCTACATCATTTGCGCCCTTCAGTAGGAGAAATTTCATGTATTCAACAAAAAATTCCAGTGCTCATTATGCTACCACAAGTTCATTATGTACTGCAAGTTCATTATGCTACAGCAAGAGCCATTTCCTTTGTGATTCCTTTAATCTGATGCAATAAAACCAAACAAGAAGAGGAGAAACAAGGCATTGAATTTGAGTGAGTCACATATAAATCTTTCTTAGAGCTAAGCTATTTTCCTTCATCTTAGAAACAAACAAGGGTTATGGTGAATTTAGTTGTTCTTGCACATAGGGTTATAAATCTATCTTTGTAGTCCCTATAAATATTTACCTATTTTTTTCTGTTTTTTTTTCATTCAGGGTCTAAAATGCAGTTTGGCTTTCACATTTTTTTTTGCATTGATTTTGGTGGGAATGAAGAACTAAAGAGCATGCGACTAGAAGTAATTTCGATGTTATTTATAATAAATTCAGGATAAAATACATAGGTGGGATGAAATTGGAAATTCACGTTGATCTCTTAGTGTACTAAGTGGGTAGCGCTTGAAAAAAAGAGTAAGAATTCATGCATGGAAAATGCTGCCAGACATAAGATTTCCCACTAAATATTTATATCTGACAATTGCTAATGACATATATTACAGAGGAACATGCAAGGGTTCAAATGGTATTTTTGTTTGTTGCGTTTCCCCAGTCAGAAATGGGTTTAAGTTATCAATGGGTTTAAGTTCAGGCTCCTTCCTAATATGCCACTGAATGTTTTCTTTACTAAAGACAAGACATGCAGTCAAAAAACATTCAGGAAATGTACAAGGTATAAAAACTGTATTTCCTATGGCATAAACTCTGAAGAACAGTGAAGCCTGATGGAAAAAGGATATGGTTTTTCATAATACTTTTTGCCCTGGCAGAGACAGATGTTGTTACTAGCTCTGAACTTCTGGTTTTTCTGCTTTTATTAGCCCCTAACACTCATTCCAGGCAAGGGACAGCATTAGAGAAAATTATGCAAGAGTTACAATATAATCTCATTTCTGTTGCAGTAAATTGGTTAAAATTTTCTCTTTTATTTCCTTTCTCCCCTGGCCCTTTCAAGCTTTGAAAAAATTAATTACATTTCATGTAAGGATAAAAGAAAATAAGATTGTTGTTCTCCAGTTGGTGTTAGGGAGCACACAATCTTTAATTTCAAGTTAATCAAAACAATTGAAGTTCTTGACCAGGCAATCAGTTAATTAGTTCCTCTCAAAAAGTACATTCACCAGTGTGTATAAAAATAAACATTCAAGGCCACTGTCATACTAATATCAAGATCAAAATGAACTTTCATACAAAGTACTCATTAAATGCTTTTTTTATTATTATGATGATGATTTCAAATTTTCTCCCTCTAGAACACAGTTATCGCTAGAAAGATTATGAAAGCCTCAGGGATATCACCTGTCCTACCACAGAAGCCCTACTCATTCAAAACCCTGCATGCAGAGAGCCTTAGTAATTTCATTGTAACTCCACCGTGTGCAATCAGCCGCTGGTGGTTTGATTTTGACTGCGAACACCATGTACATCACTAATAAGCTGTGCTGTGAGTTTGCAACACAGCCACTGGTATTAAGGGTCCACATAGCGAGGCACATCACAGAGCAGCACCACAGCAGCAGGAGCTTTACCCAGAGTTTGCGAGCTGCATGTTGGACAAACTTTCCACCCTGCAGGGCGACTCCCTTCTCCCAAGTTCTTCTTCGTCTCAGTCTGGGTATGTTCACTGAGATCTCTTGTACCTCCAGGACAAAATTGTCCCATGCTCAAAAGACATCATGAGAAAAACCTAACTTTGAGCGCATTTGAAAGAAAAACTTCGCAAGACAAAGGGAGGTCTGATTCAGGAAAATTACATCCAGAAAAGAACACAAATATTTGAGTCAGCACAGGATTATCTCTGGGAAGAGTTTCATCTGCCAAATAGAGGGTCTCCATGCTGCAGATTGAACGCATCCTCAGAGATCAAAGGAAATCTTTTCAAGGTTTTCAGCAAGGAGGAGTTTAAGACTGTTATACAGCTTCATCTGCCCCCTGCTAAAATATTTTTCTGCTGCTTGCAAATGCTGCTCATCAAAACTCACCTGGCAGGGGCATGGATTTCCCATCTGCATACAGATTCATTCCACAGTGGGCAACTGAGACATCTCCAATGTTCAAGGAAGGCAACAGATCCTTTCATGAAGAAGCTACATAACAATGTCTCTCTCCCTGTCAAATCTTCCGGAAGCAGCAGCACAGAGTTACTAATTCAATCAGTTGCTTAACTGTAAATCCAGGTTTTTCAATACAAGGTGCAATAGGCATAAGGCTTTTCTGTGTCAGGGCAACCAAGGAATTGGCTGGATAGAATCACTATACATGTGATATGTGATGTAGTGGTAGCTACAAATCCAACAAAGTTTGGACATCATTCCAAAGACATCTACAAAGATACGGATGCTTAAAAAATTTTCTATTTTTTAATTTTTATGAAAAAGAAACTAAAACAAAAAATAGGAGGACATTCATATTGAATATATAATCTCATACTGTTTCAATTGCGAGGAATAGCATATTTTCATCTTTATTCATAATTTCTACCTACTCATTGGGCAGTAAGAAATTTTCCTTTACTCATTCAATTAAATTTGCTTTAATTGCAAAGAAGAGTGGATATACGGCTACAACCATTTCACACTACACAGAATATTTATTTTTATTTGTACATTTATTTATTTAAGTGCAATGGAAAATTACTGCACACTGACTGCAGAACATTAGTCTGAGTGGTCTGAGTTGTCAGCAGAGAGGTCTGGAGAGGTTCACAACACAGGAACCTTGAGAACTCAAGATATTTAGAAACATTTTGCTTATCTCTTTAAAAGTTTGGACATGTTTTGGTGTGAGGAATGAAGAGTAAAGGCTTCACCAGCTTCAGCGTTAATGTCCTACTCTTTTCCCAACACCAATGAAGAATTGAAAAAAGATTGAAAAATTTTTCAACCCCTTCCAAAATTTTATAGCAGAGGAATACACTTGAATAACTAAGCATCTTATTTTGAAATGGGTCTATATAAAATAAATTCACAACAAACAAGGACTACAACATATCCAGTAAAAAACAGAAACATCACTGTTTTCAGACATCTCTACTACTTTGAAATGTTGTGATCTGTAGCCATTACCTATTTATAATCCATTTGTACTGGATTATTAATAACTATTGATGATAAAGGTAATTAACTATATTAACCCTTTGTCCCCTATAGAATCAAGTAGTCCGTGTGGGAATTTACATGTCCCACAAATGTTGTACATACAGAAGAGGTAAATAAACTTGAGGTAATGCCCTAAAAACTGTAGGAATGAAAACAAACAAGCTCACATCATGTCTTGTTGGGGTTTATTTTAAAATTTCAAAACTTGCCTCAAAACCTGGTCTTTTTCCAAAAACAGATAGCCCTCTCCCCAAACACCCACAGGACAGGCATCAATCATTCCCAGAGAAAGGTTTTCTTTATGTGAATTTTTGTCCAGTCCTTACCTAACTTTTATTTAGGAGTTTGAAACAGAAAGAGACTGATAACATTTCTCACCCTATAAAAACCCAAGATAGACACTAAGTGCACAACATTTTTATACATAACACTTTCTAATCTCACTTCTGAAGGTGTGTCTGTCTGCTTAAACATTTCTCTATTTCTGGAACCTGAACTATCAAACTCAAGGTAAAGTCAGAAACTGCTCTCCCAGGACTGTGATGCAAGAAATTACTCACCTATTGTTTTGAATTTTAAATGTGCTCTGACACGTGATACACAGAGAATGCAAGAGATTTTATCAACATTAATTTGACATGATCAAAAATTACTTAAACACATAACACAGAATTGTAACTGGATTTTTTACCTACTCAAGCTGTCAGCAGTGGTACCGGTACCTCTAAAGATATTCAAACTCTCCTTTTTTTTTTCCCCAAGATTTCTTGTGAAATAAAGACAGACTCATTTTATCTCTACAGTGATACTGGACTTTAAAAAAAACATGCCAAAGTCTTGAGACACTACTATATCCACTTCATTTTGAAAGAAAAAATCACAACTATAGACAGATCAATACCTCTAATCTCCTCTATACTTACCATTATTGTTCTTGTTGTATGGCTGGATGATTCTGGAAAACAAAAGAATCACAGCATATTAGAGTATTGTCTTTATCCATAAAAGCCCTATTTTCTCATGCTCACCCTGAGGGCTAAGATGCTACTGTTCAGCTACAACAATGAACACATCAAAAATGAAGAGACTGGAAAGATTTCTCATGAAATGAGCATGAGAATCATCACTGGTCCTGAATATATATGGCACACTATAATATGCTGTTAACTGCACTCATTCTCTTTGCTTAATTACCCTCTTCTGCAAGAAAATATAAAAATGGAACTAATTCATAATTCATGTTTCAAGAAGCATTTTTTTTTTCATTTTGCTTTTAACATATGGCATCATTTAACATGGAGGATTAGCTCCACAGAAAGAAATACAGATAATTCCATTACTGTTCCCATTTCAAAAGGTTTTATAAAACTAGACAACCATTTCTATGAGAATTCTGAGATGGATGCTCAGTTTGAAACTAACAAGTATATTGAGAGATGTAACATCCAAACATGCTAACTATTCTCTCCTGTATGATAAATCTAGAGTCTGTCAAGCGAACTCACAGTTATATTTATATAAATTCCTCACTACTAGACAAATAGGTAACAGATTTTACCCTGTTGTTTAACTCAAATTACTTCTGCTTTTTTCTTTCCCCAAGAACAGAAATCTCTCTTTGGCTTTAAAATACTACAGTTTACATATTACAGACATTGTTCTTTTTCAAAGCAGTGCAACTTCAGCAATGAAACATCCTCATAAACAGTTTAGAAACCTGCAAGAAAATTCACTTGCTGATGCAAGATGATGCTGCTAGCAGTCTCACAGACTCACTCAAAAATTTGGGTAAGACATCTTATTGGCACTAGCAGACAGAGTTCTTAAGGATAAGATAGTTATCAACATTATGTTCAGTTCTGCATAAAATGTACACACTTCTGCATGAATTGAATCAGCAAAGTCTCAGTCCTGCAAGTGAGATAAATATACAATAATTACAATGGGTTTGTTATTCTTGCCTTGGTTTCAAATTGGCAGTCTTAGAAGGGTTCCAACTGGCATCACTTAGACAAAGAATTCTCCAGGGATTTTGTTATTGTCAAAAATAGTATTAAAGAGATTAAAAGAACATGAGAAAGAACAGTTGCACATCTTTTTCTGGAAAAAAAAATGGTAATTAAACTCTCAAACTGATATTTCTCTTTTGTTTTGAGGAGTCATCTTAACCAGTCTGAAGATATCATTCAGTCACTGATAGAAACAAAGATAAACCAAATTTAATAGTCTCAAACTATTTAGAAACTCCAATATTCATCAGAAATTTCTGTATCTAGTTTATGTTTACATTTGTACAAGTCTTCCTCCTCAATCAATTAAAAAAAAGATATCACTAATATTACATTAATAAAGGTGCTGTAATGTGAATACCTACCTAAAGCCAGCAATATTTTACTTGTGAATTCCTCTCTTCCTCTCTTTTTTCACACAAAAAATTATTGTATGTAAAAATACATTTAGATCACCAGTCTTCCAGACAATTTTAAAACTGGTACAAAAACCAAAATACTGTGACAGTCTATTGTTTCCTGATACCTGAACATATTTGGCATTCTTATAAAGTAAGAGAAGATCTCAGTAGAGTGAAGAACTCTATAATATGTTAAGTTTTTATCTTCGCAAAGTTAAAAACTTCGTAAAGTTATTTTTGTTATGACAACTTTACTTATTTTTTGACACACTGGTAAAATAATATTTCAGGACCTGACTGCTCCTGAGAAAAACCAGAGACTGCATTCATGGAGCTATAGCCACCTGAAAAACTCTTAAGACTCCTTCCATTTATAAGCCTAAATACCCCAAAAAAAAACCCAACCAATCTATCTCCAAAAGCACAACTGCATTTCCCGAGGAATCCTCAGCTTAGGCAGAATTATCAGGTTAAACAAAAAGAGGTTGTTTCTCTCTTGAAATATAGAAGAAATACATTAGACAGCACTTTCAGTCACCCCCAAAATGATCACAGTGAACAAACAAAGATTCACACTTTTTATATTCAGATACAAATAATAAAACCTTCCCTCTTACCCAGAGGTGACATACTTTTGGCATAGCTTTCTATGCCAAATCTATAAAAACTATGCTTAGCCATGATTCTCCCAAAATACTCAGACACCCTCTCAATTCCACAGACAACTGAGTGAGAGTATCTTCCTAAAATGAACTGAGGAACAGCTGAATGTACCTGAAAGCTGTTAAACAGTGTATATTTGAAGAAAACCTGATGGACACTGATAATTCAATGCCAGCTGCTGTTAACTTCAGGATATTACCATACTGATAACCTATTAATAAAACCCAGGAGTGAAGAAAGATCTGCTCTATTTGTAAATATCCCTGTGTTATATCATACAATAAAAATCATTCTGTTTTTTGCTTATATTTTTCTTGCTGTAGATACTGACATATCATCTAAGTTGCCAAACATCAAAGACCTGAGTATATCCATAAATCAAAAGGTAGGGAAAGAACTATTTAATAAGTAGACATAGTAAAAAGATTTTAGGGTCTAGCAGAGACTACTAATTAAGGTGCCATTGTTACTCAAATTAAACTCCTATATACTCTGATACACAAACATTCAGATTTTAGAATTGAGGAGATACTGATTTCTTCCAGAAAATAATTACACCCTGACTTGGCAGGGTTCTGCAAAACATTATGCATGAACACACACCAGCCAATTCTGTGGAAAACTTTTAATTAAGGCAACTAAGAAAGAAAGCCCTTGCTTAAAAAGGCAGTCACGCAGCATTTGAAACCTTCACAAAAAGTCTGCACCCCAATGCAAACACCAGTGAAGCTTAAGGGCATCAGAGCTTATTTAAAAACCACAAATATCTTGGTGTCCAACAGAACAGAAAACAAAACTTTGGATTTTCAGTTTTACCTGCCAAGTTTCAGAATGCCTTAGGGAATTGAAATAATCGGGTTTGAATTTCAGTGAAACTGGCACCAGTGGACATCTGGTTTATAAATGAGTTCTTACAGCAAATGATTTTGTGCAAAGTAGTGATCTGTACTTGCACTACTTCAGTAGAAGAGAATTCCAGGATACAGAATGATTCTCACCTTATTGCCAGTGAAGTGGATTGCTCCACTTTAAACAGAAATGGCCAGACATCATCATCACTAAGAAGAGCTTTTGGTGATGTGATGTGAGTGGTTTACAGTAAATGCAACTTCAGTGCTGACAAGATGTTTGTAAATGTATTATGGTGGAGAAACTGATGCGCCAACAGCTGAAACTCCTTAAGATGCTTCTGTGCTCTTTCTACAACACATTTATTTGAACTCAAATAGAAATGAGTAAGTTGTAGAAGAAATTTCTTCACATTAAAACGTGCTTTACCAACCACTCTGATCAATCAAGTGTTTCTCCCTGTTTACAGGCACTATGAGACCATAAAATTTCCCACTGTGAAACCATTCAAGGCTAAATCAGAAAAAGTGCACTGCTAAAGGATTGTGTCAGCTACAGAATTATTTCAAGTGTACATAGTATTCCCCAGTAATGTGTTATTTTTTATTCCCTTAACAGTTCTTCAAGCCAGGACAGAACCCACATCCTTAATGTCACTCCAGTCCTTTTCCAGCTGTTCATGTGTTATTTGTATATGTGCTGTTCTTTATTTCTGCTGATAGAAAACTTAGTTTTCTGATAATTTCTTTCTCTTTTATATTAATGGGGTCATCAACTATACTAATGGGTAAAAGGTGTCCTATTTCTAAACCTTCCAGAATAAATATGCTTGAATATAATGTAATTTTACACATGGAAAATAAAGGCAGGCTGGCAATAGCAGAGTTGTTTAATCCTAGTAACATCTCAGCTTGTCATGGTGCATAAGACTTTAAAGGTTCTTTTCATCCAGGATGGATCACCTTGGGAAATAAGCTGAGGAAGGAAGACTGCTTTGTTATTTCTTCTCCATTTGGGTTATGAATGTTTTAAGTAACCAAACACAAATATTTTTCCCTACCAGTTTGTAGCAATGGATTAAGTGGCATTTTTACTTCAAAAGTATTATTAAAAATAAATAAATACATATATATATATATATATATATGTGTTATAATAATACTGAGTTTGAGAAAGACCCTTATTCTGCCAAGAGAGAAATTTTAAACACTGGAGAAACAATATACAGATGAATAAAAGAAAAAACATACAAAATTACCACAAAGCCTTTTCCCCAGACACAGGAACTTTCCAGTTCCACTGCCTAAGCACTTTCTGAAGGTGCCTCCCCTATTGCATTATGTACTAAAATGGTTAAGAACTATTGCTCTGCAATCACAGCTTACGAAAAATAATCAAGCTACTTGACAGTAATCATATGCAGAAGCTCTTTGAGTATTAACTCCAGATCTTGAATCCAGAACATGTAATTCATGAGGTAATACGCTGCTAATCCTGTTACCCAACAAACAGGATTCTCTTTCTGCAACTGTAATTCTTTAAAATAATACTAGGGGAAAGTAGTGATTCCAGGAATGAAGTTCTGGCTATCTGCATTGTGTTTTAAATGCTAACTTAATTATAGTGTTGTTGCCATTTGCTGTTTTAAAGGCTGATTTATTCTGCCAATTAGAGAAGTCAGTGTTACTGCAGTTTCATGTCTACACTTTACCTGTATATTTAAAAAGGAAACACCGATTCAACAGCAGAAATGGGGTAGTTCACCATGAGGTGCCCTTTCCTCCATCTGCCATCCCACACACCTTGCTCTTTCTAATCCCTGCTGTCATCAGTGTTATCAGAAGCACATGTTGCAATGGTGAATTCAGGAATACAACACTCTAATCTTTTCATAAGCATTCATTTCCTTCGTACAACAAAAAGGAAATGATCTATGGCACACTCAAACTAGTGCATTAAAGCCTGAATGTGATTCTAGTTTTGTGCCTTTTTTTTTTTTTGTGTGCATCAACTCTAGGCAAAGAAGCCTTACA